GAGAGAGAGAGAGAGAGAGAGAGAGAGAGGGTGGGGGAGATATTGTTGTGATGTGACCCGCGTCTTGAAATGAATCCGACCCAACGTGTTGGATTAATTTAATTTTAGGGGTTTATGCTCATTTTGATAACTCTATTTGAGGTAAATTGATTTATAGATTTAAGATAATTATATATTATCTTATATAGTTAGTTATTTTATTGTTTCGGTTCTTATACTTTAAAAAATTATATTGATATTTCTATGATTAAGAAAGTGAAACCTCTAAGTCCATTTACTTTGACGATGTTAGTTTTAACGATAAAAATATGAAAATAAAAGGTAAAAAATTAATTTTAACATTCACTAGCCGATGACATCGATGGTGGTGAACAACGGTGCTATCAGCGTTGATGCTAACATAGTTGTCTGGCCATCTTTGATGACGATAAGGTCAACTCTCACCACAATGCCACTCGCCTTCACGAGGAGCACATCACAGATCTCATCGCCGCCACCCTGCACCGCTTTACATCTATGTCGACATGCACAATTGCCGAGCGATAATTGTGTCAGCATTGATGCAGATGGTGGTGGCCATCTCATCGCTGACCCATTGAGCGGATCCTAGCTTTCACCTCAGAGCTCCTCTCGCTCCCCTCGCTGCCACGTCAGTTCTAGCATCATATCTCGTCGAGTGGCCCTTTCATCACTCTGCATTTGCGTCGACATTGACGTAGCTATTGAGTGACATAAAAAATCACTCGATATCTGCATAAACATCGACTTAGATGTAGAGCGATATGCGCTCGACATCTGTGTATGCACCAATAGATGGAGGGACTCGAGGACAGCAGGGTAGAGGCCACAACTGATGATATACTTGGAGGCGAGGGTACCGCTGACGCCATTAATGGTAAAGAAGAGGTAGTAATGGTCATAATAAATGAGGTAGAAGCACTAGCAGAGATAGAGGTAAAGGAAGATGAGGAGGATGATACTGGAGGTAAACACAACCTTGCCACTATGGTGGAGGTGAACATAACCTCTACCTCTGTTGGCGCTTCTACCTCATCCATCGTCACCATCGTTGCCTTCTCTTTGCCATCGACGACGTAGGAAGTACTCTTGCCTCAGCATCTACCATATGTTGTGGCCTCCACCCTATCGTTCTCGAGTCCCTCCACACATCGGTATTGACGCAATTATAGAGCGATGAAAGGGATACTCAATAAGAGGTGATGCCGAAATTGATGCAACAATGGAGGGAGCAACATAAGCTCAAGTGACCCTAGCTTTGGGTCGAGGCTGAGATCCACCCAATGAGTCAGCAATGAGGTGGCCACAATCATTACCTTAGATGCTGCTGCGACCACTACCATCTACATGGACATCAACATAGTGTTGCTCAACAACTACGTCAACATCAATGCAAATTCAAAGCAACACGGGATAAGCGACGATGAGGTCGATAGTGCGCTCCTCGTGGAGGCGATTGGTATCACGGTGAGAGCGGATCTTATAATTGTCGAAAGTGGCCAAGCAACTCTATCCGTGTTGTCATCTACCACCACCAACACCGTTTGCCGCAAAATGTTAAAATTATCTTTTCGTCATTTGTTTTCATGTTTTCATAAATAAAATTTAAATCATTAGGGTAAATAGACCTATATGTTTCACTTTCATAATTATAAGAGTGTCAATGTAACTTTTTATAGGGTAGAGAACGAAACGCTAAAGATAGCTAACTATATCGGGTAATATGTAATTAGCCCTATAGATTTGAATAGTTTTGAATGAATTAGATTTCAAGATGAGCTTCCATTTATTTATATTTATTATCCTTGAATCCCCCCCCCCCCCTCCCCCAAAAAAAAAGCATATTTATGTGGTGATCGATTTTTAGTTCTTGATAATTATTTTTTCTTTCAATAATGTGTATTTGATTTCTTAGTAAATCTATTTTCTTTCCTATGAGTCCTAATTACAGCCGGACCTTTTCTTTTTTATAATACAAAACGATGATTCACTCAATAATTTGCAAGGGAGAAATAGAAAATTTTGGAATAGTCCGGATGAGATGAAGACGCACAATTAGCATTGCCGAGGGCATCACTCACATTGTTCCATGCACCTTTACCAACATTATTGCAAATCAAGAAATTTCTATTTTTAATTAGATTTTGTACTTGCGTTCAAATATCATAAGCGAAGTCGAACCCGATGTCATTATTTGTCCTATATCTTGTAGTTTACCTCGGCAAGAAAAAAAGAAAGTGTTTTCCTTTTTGATGAGTATCCAAATGATGATGTATTCATCTCAACTTTAACTTGTTCGTAGTGGCAATGGTTATCTTATTATTCAGATAAGTCGGTAATAGAGCATGATGCATTGGTATCTCTGTAATCCACATGTCTCTATCGTCAAAGATGATGTTAAGATCATGTCAATCTAGTCATTGGCACTAGAAGATGTTAATGTCATTTTGTCGTCTGATTCATGATATTAGAAGATTACATTTATCACCAACAATTTATCTATATTCTTTTAATTTTGAGCACATCAATTATAAAGAAACTCGTTTCTATCCCAAATTCCAAAATGAGATCTCTTTCCTTCTTCCAAGGGATTTTGACTTTTTATCTATTCTCCATAAAGAATGTGATCTTATTCTCATTCTCCTTTCGGGAGAACTCCTCCAGCATGAAAGAGAGATTCCACCTCTACTTCACTCAAAATCTCTTCTTTAAGCATTATATGAGTATTATGGATCAACTATTGACACCCATCTATGTTTGTCTCGTAAGTAAATCTCCAACTATCTGTGATCGACAAAATATATTATGATCAGATGGATAGAATCATATAGTATAAAATTGAGCCTAGATAGCTCCATCACAATCATAAAGACCATATATATATTCTGTCAATTGATTTTTTCTTGCCATCGTATTTTATAAGAATTGAAACTTAGGTAAGTGTTTTATCAACATATGTAGCAAAAGAACATATCTAATTTAGCTCTTTCATGCTTACTATAACTAGTTATTTCGGTTTTCTACTAGTTGTTTTAACTATAACCTCAGCTCTATTCATTGGTTTGAACAAGATACGACTTATTTGAAATGAATTGAATGAAAAATTGATAAAAACGAATATTTCTCTGAGATTCGGGATATTCTATGGTTCTTTAATCTTAGAGGCCGTCTAAGAAATCTCATAATTATCATGCATTTAATTGAGTTTTCTTTTACTAGAATCGCTACTTCTTGCCTTCCAAATCATTCACTGTCACGAAGCTAAAAATGTTGAACCTAAAAAAATTGATGCATCGTGAATATGATATGGATTTTTAAGTCCCAACAAAATTATTAAGATCACGAATCGACATTCCTTTACAATTAAACTAATTATTAATCCATTTCTTCGTTTATCTCAAGCATGATTTCTTCTTTTGATTAGACTAGACTCTATGTCTGTTTTTGGTTTCCTATAATATACAACTCCTCGGAGAGTTAATTAAAGATAATTATCTTTAGTATCTCAATTTTTATATTTTTAAAAAATATATTAACATCTTTATAATTATGAAAGTAAAACATATAATCTATTTACTCTAACAATGTCAATGTTACTAACGCAAACATAAAAATAAAAATCAAAAAATAATTTTAACATTCAAATTAGTGATAATAAATTATGATACTACTATAAGTCACGAAGTTTTGCATCTACACCAATACCATGTTATTTGATCACTTCATGAGAAACACGTGTCCCCAATTCCCCAGGATTGGTCGATTTGGATTCTCTTCTTCGGTCCATACGTGCATGTTATAGAGTAACGAAATCAATGGAGATGAGGAGCTGTGGACGCCGTTTGTTGCGGAGAAGACATCTATAATATGCTAAAGATAACAAGGCCTATTTAATTGCTATTTCACGGCTACATTTCGCGGTCTAGTCGAATAGAATCTCCTCGATTGCTTCCTCGAATTCGACTTTTGACTATCATTTACGAGAAAGAGTTGATGACGACAACGAAGACGAAGCTGAACCAATTCATATTGCAGGCGTATCTAAGAATTGTGCAAATGATACAAGAACGCATCGCCCGTGGCGTTTACCCTCAGCAATCTGTGTTTTCGTTCCTCCTCGGTTCTCATGGCATGAAGAGCTTGCTGCCGCACTTGCATCGCCATGCCTCCGGGTAGTACTCGAGCGGAACGCTTCGGCCCGGCTGGATCGCCACGTGAACCGGCCGGCAGGGGAAGCACCGGCCGCAGCGAGCCCAGCAGGTAGGCGGCGACGACCCAGGGCCGGCTAGTCGCCTCCGAGCTACCCAGTTCTCTCTTTCCGAAGGCCTCAGCCCTGTGTCTCCCACTTCCTGAGCAATTCCTACCAATGTACTCCCTATAAATCAACATCAGACGGGAACCAAGTGGTTAATAGAGCTAACATGACTACAGAAAAAGGATAGAAATGGTTTTATGATGATAGAGCACTTCATGAACATTTTTCAGAGAGCACTAATGGCTGCTGGTGACGAAGAAGCAAGATTGGTGATGAAGGTTACGGCGTCGGTTTCTGGTTGATCTTTTCTCCCCTTTGGGAGGCAATAAGAAGATAAAAGAGGGGTCAGTTGTTGAGAGCACTGAAGGATCTATTATGGATAACCTTGAACCACGAGAAGATCGGAAGGAAGTGGCTATCTGGTGAAAGCAAGAAAGATGAGATCTAGAATACGAACACGCATGCAAGGTGGGATTTTTTTTGAGCCGAAGGCATCATAGTTCAGCAGAGACGTAGCTAAAGAGAGGAAAAGAGAGATCGTTGAAGAAACTAGAAACAGAGAGCGGAAACGGGATGTTGGCTTTGGTCAGTACTCAGTACTCTCACCGAGAGCTACGGCAAGGACGAAGAAGGCGATGGCAGCGGAGAGACGGCGGCGCCGGTGCCGCAGAACGCCCATTGTCGAGCTCTTCGGACCGATCACAGATTCAGAGAGAGAGAAAGAGAGAAGGGGATGTCAAGTGAGGCGGCAGAGGTAGGAGTTCTTTTCATGCTTGGGAAGCAGTCCTGCAGTGAGCATTGGCGAGAGAGAGAAACAGAGATTTCTATAAACCATTTCTTGCTTACTGTACTGACTCCTTGCCTCGTTGGTTGCCTACTTGCTTGGATTTCGTTTAATCTAACACGATATCCTTGTTTGCTGCCAAATATGAAACGTAATATGATGTTCTTGTTTCCTCTCCAAGTTGAGATGAGTGTGACAAAAAGAAAGCTGAAATGAGCGTGTCAGAACAGAGTAGAGTTTCATCAATTCAGTGGCGACGATTTTGTTCGCAAACTATCGCGTTGTGGGACCAAATTTTGATGGCAAAAGGTCAAGTCGGGTGTGGCATTGTCTCTTCCGATTAAACCAAACCCTATAAAGTTAGATCCTTATCATGTCTGTCCTCTTTGAATCCATGAAGGCCAAAAAGCATCCTATATTATGCTTACATGACAACTATAATTTTGTTACTACTGAGTCATCGATTTATGCCAACGTTTACTTCTCTCCAGTTTCTCCATTAGCTTCTCGACTCTCATCTTTCTATGTTGAGACAAGTAACAGGGGAAGAGATGTGTGTCAGACGAAAGCCAAAGCAGTATGCATCGCCACGAACGAGGTTTGTTGTTGGAGGCGGAGAGGCCAGCGAGAATCCATGTCTCGCCAGGTGAGAAACAATCATTCTCGTGGAGGCAACAACAGCCAGCAGAAAACCAGATGAGTGGATGCCTCGCAACTCGCAAGAAATGTATTGTTCTACCGAAACAGTAGCCTGGGTGAAGCTGATGTGTACGGGAGGAGAACGAGCAATATAGTCACGTATGGACCGCTGACTCCTTGAACGGAACCGACTTGAAGAGAGAGGCGGAGGAGCTGTAAAGAGCTTTGACTCGCGCGGGCGTGTGCACGTGGATACTCTGTCTCGCACGGCCTCGACAAGTCAGACGGAGGATGAGAGGGAGCGCATGTGAGGGAGAGAGAAGAAAGAAAGGTCGAAGAATTATTGAGCCCCGTGTGGGGACGTCGTCTTCTTTTGGTTTCAGACAGGAAATGAAGTGGCAAACCCGAATCCACGGTGACAGGACGGCTAATTGAATGGCGTGGGACCCACGTCCCCAGGGTTCGCCTGCTCCATGTGAGAAGGCAGGAGGACTCGTCCGCCCACGGTATGCGATCAATCATTGTACGTGCTTCAAATGTCCATCTCAGTCGAGTGTGGTTCCATTCAATTCCTAACGATGATGATGACAACGCATGGCTAAGTCACCGCGGCGAGCTGAAGATGATACGTGTCGTACGTACCAAAAGGGATGCAGCTACGTATTTGATGAAGGTCGCAAAGTATACCTTGCACAGTTTGGTACTGTGCCTTCTGCTCTGGTCCTATCACTCGAACATTAAATGCACAGATTGCAATCTCCAACCCACGTAGTCGTATTGCGCTCAACTCAAGCACACCTTAGAGCTACCAAACCTTCGAATCTGCAGGGGACGTCAAAAAATGCAGCGGATTCCTCCCGGTGCAAGCAGAGCGACGTTGGGAAAGAAGACGCAGCGCTGTTGCATTCTTGCTCGTTAGGTCTCAATCCAGAATCACAAACCCTGTCGACCAGCTGATCCGGTTGCTAACATTGAAGGAGAAGAAGAAGAAGAAGAGGGGGCAATAATGGCGGACAGCGGAGAAGCGGAAGCAAACAAGACGGGGTGTAGTCATTTCATGGGGGCCTTTCCTATCATATTTTGGCCACACCTGAAGGCTTTCTTCTCTCCTCTGTCCGCGTCGGGCCATATCTCCTTTTCGTACTCCATATGATGCTGAAGGAGAAAAGCCGCTGCTATGGGCACGGAGGACATCCCAGAAGACTATCCATTATCACTCAGTATTCCTTCCCGCCATAAACGATGGGTTGCTTTCTTCTTTCCATTTTTGTTGAAATGTGAAACCCGAAGGCGATTGATACACGTCTCCCCAAGCACAGAACTAATTGTTTTTCTTATAGATAGAGTGCTGTAATTTTCTTAGAGTTATTTCTTATATATATATATATATAATGAAAGAAACAGTGATTAACTGCTGCAAAGGTTATGCAAATAAAATGTGAGCGGTGCAAATTCCCCACCTAACCTCAGAAAAGGCCGAAGGTCACATGTTTAACAGTCTTTCGTCCACAGAGAGAGAGAGAGAGAGAGAGAGAGAGAGAGAGAAGGGTCCTTCCCAACACGAAGCCTATAATGTGATGAGGGAAAAAATATTGTGTGACGAAAGGTAGTAGTAGATGAGATAATCACGAGAGACGGTTGAGATGAGTTAATCACGAGAGACCAACGGATGATTAACGTGACAGACGAACCTGCCGACGTTGGCATTGGTTGGTTGGTACCGGTGCGAGTTCTTGTTACGAGGGAACAGCGACAAGAACATTAATTTTGCCTTCGATGTGAGGCAAATTTACCGGTGCGTGATCCGATGGGTTCGCAAGGGCGGGAAGGAGAGGTCTATAAAAACCATGGGAGGATTTGAAGCCTGTAAGAGTGGCGCATACTAGTGTTACAAATGGTCACTTCTTCCGGGTGTTCTTTATCCCGTTGTTTGCCTCGGGCCACATGATCCCTATGGTGGACCTCGCCTGCCTCTTCGCAGCCCGCCCCGGCCTCGAGCCCACCCTCGTGCTCACCCCCGCCAACGCCGCCCTCGTTCGCCCCACCCTCGACCGCTCCGCTGCCGCCGGCCGCCCCGTCGGGCTCCTCCTCTTTCCGTTCCCCTCCGTCGGCCTCCCTGACGGCGTCGAGAACCTCGCCACCGCCCCTGCCTCCGAGTCCTGGCGCGTGTATAAGGCCGTCGACCTCGCCCAGACCGCGCACGACGAGATCCTCCGTCGCCATCGCCGCCGACCTCGGCATTCCCCGCGTTACCTTCCATGCCGTCGGGATGTTTCCCCAGCTCGTGATGAACAACCTCTTCCGTTTCCGTTCAGATATCCAGGAGCGTCAGGTCGTCGCCGTCCCGGATCTGCCGGGCCGGCCCATCGAGATCACGCGCGCCGAGCTGCCCGAGTTCTTGTTGGAGCACAACCACATGAGCGACACATGGGACCGGATGAAGGAGGCGCAGCTGACCTGTCACGGCGTGGTGGCCAACACCTTCTACGGGTTCGAGCCGGAGTACTGTGACGACTACCGTCGGGTGGATGCCCGTCAGGCCTGGTTCGTGGGACCCGTCGCGCTTGCCTCATGCGGCGGCGTCGAAAGGGGTGGTGGCACGGCGGCAAAGGAGGATGGCGACCGATGCATGGCATGGTTGGACACGAGGGAGGAAGGGTCGGTGCTGTTCGTTTGCTTCGGGAGCTGGTGCCACTTCACAGCGGCGCAGCTCAGGGAGATGGCAGCGGGGCTGGAGGCGTCGGGGCAGCCGTTCCTTTGGGCAGTTAGAAAAGACGGGGACGGCTCCGAGGAAGAGAGTAATTGGATACCGGAGGGATGGGAGGACAGGGTGGCCGGGCGAGGCCTGGTGGTGAGGGGGTTTGCGCCGCAGGTGGCCATCCTGGGCCACAGGGCGGTGAGGGCGTTCCTGAGCCACTGCGGGTGGAACTCGGTTCTGGAGGCGGTCACGGCGGGGAAGCCTATGCTGACACCTGCCCTGATCCCATTGATCCAGTTGACCTGTTGGTTCCATTGATCCCCTGATACAAGACACCTGCCCGGGCCGAACAACGTTGTCGCGAGCATTACCATGAACCGCCCGCATCAGCCCATTAGCAATCCTATACCACAACATCCCACGGATCAACTCCGAGGATTTGGCCCAAGAATTGGGGACATTTGAGATGAAAATTTTAATCACATGTCAAGATCGGTGTTTAGTATCTAAAACATTTCTCCAGAAAAAGGAAGATAATTGGACAGCATTACATTGTGCACACCAAATCTTATTTCAACCTTTAGACGGCGAAATCTCACCGGACCGTCATAAGTGACAAGCATGGACTGGCCGTTAGTTGTCTATATAGTATTCAATGCCGCCGTCGTCAACTACTACCAGTTCCCGACACGGCATCTGTGACCTCCCGTTCACACTGCGTCATCCAAAATAACCCAAAATCCGCTGCGCGTTCACACGGTGTGCTATGTATACGATTTTAAACACGAGTAATTTACTTATCTGATCCATGTGTGGGGTCCGCATCGTACCCACCCTAGGCAGTAGGGTAATCGAGGAGGCACTCAGACACTGTGTTGGAGTAAAAGGCCACGAACCAAACGCCTGTAATCCACGGAATGGTGCTAAAATGGGTAGATAATAAAGAAAAAAGATTTGACCATTACTCACAGAATCATGTTAAAAATGGTACATGTTGAACAAAAAAGATGTGACCATATCAAAAGGTCATAATCTGAATAAATCGCATGCTCGTAATCCATACAATCCAAAAAAGGACCCCACAAAAAGCCGCCAAAGCAGCTGGTACATTTCGGTTCTCAATTATTGGTGGGACCCAAGACACCGAGGTCGACTTCGCGTTCACACGGAGCACCAAGACAAAGTCATTTATCGCCCCGAAATCCCACCAATTACTCCAATCAAATAAGTGCAAGAGAATGCGGGCCGATTTGGTTTTCTTTGCCGCACGTTGTTGGTAGGTAATTAAACCGGAACGCGAGGATCATGTGAACGCTTTTGTTGGGGTGTCAACGTGCGTGCGGCAACCGAGGCTACATTTTAGATCCGTCACATATGGTGACACTTGTATTCTTGATCGCCATACACGCTGGCTAATCACTGCCGGCGCGAATCTCAAAAACATCGTGATCCTCCGTCAGTGGGTATGAACTTGAGAGGATCGCGACTCAACCTTTCTTGCCATCTCTTCTTTGCCGATTGGTTTTACATACACTTACTTGCTCTATAAAAGTCATAGCCAACGAAGGTACGTCTTCAGGTAAGACAGATGGAGGGAGAGAGAGGAATGGAGACTTTGTTTCAGGTAATCTATTTTCTGAGGTCCTTTTTCCCCTTCACCATCGTCATAGCAAATGAAGCATGTGTAATTTGAAGTGATGGGAAGAATGAAAACCCCACTGTGGTGTTGCCTGATCTAATTAAAGGAATCAAATTCGTGGGGGTTCATTTCAGGATGGCAAGGAGGAGGTGTTGCAAGCGTGGTTTATGGACGATGGTGAGGAAGACCAGAGGCTTCCCCATCACTGCGAACCCAAGAAATTTGTGTCCTTGGACAAACTTGCAGGTTCTCATCATCGCTTTAGCTTCATGAACTTTCATCTCAGATTCACACTTAGGCAGCCAACTTGCTGCTAGAGGAGGTCGATCAGCTTACTCTTCCCTCCACAGATCTGGGAATCGTCACTTGGCGTCTCAATGCCGAGAATCATGAGAACGACGAGGATCTGAAAAAAATCCGGGAAGCCAGAGGCTGTTCTTTCGTGGTAATTGATGAGCTTCCCCTCTCCCTTTCTCTTTCTTCTTTCATCAAGAAGAATCACTTCGCGGATAGCATAGACTGGTGATTCACTCGTTGCTTCTCTACAGTACACCGTTGATATGCATCCGGAGAGGTTGCCAGATTACGAGGCCAAGTTGAAGAGCTACTTTCAAGAGCACCGGCACACCAACGAAGAAACCTCTTACTGCCTCGAAGGGAGTGGTACACAAACTCAACCTCTTTCATGTCCTACCTTTCCCGTCAGTTTGGCGCATGGTTATTACCTTGTGGTTTCTTTTGGTGAAGGGTATTATGATGTGAGGGACAAAAACGACTGCTGGATTCGGATAGCAGTGAAGAAAGGAGGAATGATCGTCATACCTGCTGGAATCTACCATCGTTTTACGCTGGACACAAGCAACTACATCAAGGTAAATAATATACAACATGTGTCGCTCGCTCTCCTTGGATTTTACGTACTTGTAGATATTTTGTTTTCGGATGATACGAGATCAACAACCAAAGAAGCACAGCGTCCTCCTCCTGATCTGTTCATAAGCATGTCCTGCACTCTGCTACCATATAAAAGAATCTTCCTTTCCTGATGTTTGGTTTTGTACCCTAAAAATGAAGACTACTTGGAATAGAACAGTGATAATGTTGTCTTGATTTTGTAGATAGATTCCTTTCGCTTTCGAACAGAGCATAGATATATAATTTCTGACGGATCAGAGACCAAAGGTTGATGTCAGAGTCACCTGTGCTACTTCTGATGTAAAATATTCTTTGCAGGCAAATCTATTCTTAACCAAGCCAGTAAATTCATCATCAGATCGACCCGGTGATGACCTTTCTTCGAGGTATCATCAATAATTTATTTTTTTGTATTTATTTTAATATTTATTTACTTATATTTTCTGAATACTTGTAGGAAGGAAACCTTTGAAACGTTTCTGAGGAAGGAAACTGATGAGCTTGGCGTCGAAGCTCGGTAATGGCGATGCAGCTAAACTTATCACCCACATAACGAGCAGTAGATGATGAATAAGAAGCATTTTCTTGAAGTTGATGTCAGCTTTGCTCATCTATATTTCTTTGTTTATCTTGTCAGTACATATCAAGAAATATGACATCGTAATATAATCATTGAATAATAATAAATATTTATGAATGCCATGTAACACCCACGATTAGTTTCATATCGAGCAAAATTTAAATTGACTTATAAGAGTCTGATTAGTGTACTACTATCTAATTCAGCTTAAGTATTTTGATCAGTGGTTTAGATTAAACGAAGTTGATAGGCCAGTTAACCAATCAGGCCTGACATTTGGTATCAGAGTTGACCTAACATTTGGGCATGATGAGGGGGCTCAAGTAGGAAAGAGCTACCCGTAGATAGAGTCAGAGGACTTGTCACGACGTGGAGCCACTACTGGGGTACGCCTCACATACACTATGCTAGGGTCTGATCTGAGTTATGTTAGGTCTTGACGATAATATCAAGTGGGGCTGATTGGAACACCCCTGGTTAGTCCAATATCGAAAGTGGACAAGATTAAGATTGACTTATAAGGGTCTGATGAGTGTATTATTATTAATTTCAGCTTAAATATTTTAATCAATGGTTTAGATCAAACAAAATTGACAGGTCAATTAGCCCAGCAGATCAGGGTCATGCTAAGTCACAATTTATTTTAGTGACATTAAAAAAAAAATTAACTATGATATCATAGTAGTGAGACTAATAAAATTGTATATTAAATTAAACCATATTATATAGAAATCAACATCCTATGAACATGGAAAGAGACAAGACACATTCACTTATCCCAATGGCTACATTCTTTGCCTCTATATCCCACAGATAGAATTGATTTTACAAATTATATTTTGATGTGTTTGTGTACTATACTATGAATTAATATCCAATTGGACCTATTTTTGTCATGTTTGTGGTACAGATTAGTAATTTAATTTATAGTATTGGTACTTGTAACGTGAGCACAACAAGTCTCTTAGCAAATAAAATATGAAACCAGCCATTTGTAGAAAGCCTATTTTTATATATATAAATTGATTAGCATTATAATATAGATACAAGAAATATTAATTTAGTATGTTTTTGTTGTGCTTGTGCTGGCTGTACCTTTCTCTTTAAAGGTCCAATTTGGGGTAAGGAATAAGTCAAAATCAGATTTGGGGTAAGGAAGTGACTTAATTGTTGACAGTCAAAAGGAATTGGATGAAATTTATAAGGTGATCTTTTAATTTCATGATAAGTTTCTTGACTTGGAAAAAAAAAGAATAAATATGTGAAATGTAATCAAATGAATCAAATATAACAATTATGTAGGAAAAATAAAACAAGTAAAATAACAAAAGAAGACCTGCATGAATCTATAGACATGAAGGTATCCTACTCGCTCTAATGTGATGGATGACCAGCTCCAGAAATGGGGTGTCAGAAACCGGGATGCACTTGACGAGCCAACCAATCGGCCATGAGAAAGCCGCAATGCCAAGGCAGATCCCCCACTGTCCCCAATCCAACCTCACCGTGTCTGCAAATTTCCTCAGGAACTCCACCATCATGACTTGCAAGACTATGGTGACCGCCACTATCCCCAGGAAGAGCTTGTTCTGATGCATCCCCTCGAACACGTTCTTCTTTTCCAGCTTCCTCGAGTTGAATTCATTGAAGACTTGGCAGAGGACGAAGGTGTTGAAGATCAACGTGTTGTTCACCTCTTCGCTCACCCCAAATATGGACTCCCCTCTGAAGTGAAACACCAGCAGCACTGCAATCTGAAACATGGCCTGTGCTGCCAGGTTCCTCCACATGATGTTGGTGATGAGCGGCTCCGTCCGGCCTACCGGCTGCTTCGTCATCAACTCCTTGGTGGGTTTGTCGGTGGCCAAAGCCAGAGCACCCATGGTGTCCATGATCAGATTCACCCACAGGAGTTGCACGGTCGTCAGTGGAACTTCGCCGGTGCTGATGGCGGACACGAAGTTGACGACCAGTGCGGCAATGTTTACCGTGAGCTGAAACTGTAAGAACTTTTGGATGTTGTTGTAGACGCACCTTCCCCATCTCATGACGGTGACCACCGTGCTGAAGTTGTCGTCCAGGATGACGATGTCTGAGCTCTCCTTCGCGACTTCGGTGCCTTGGACGCCCATCGACAGCCCCACGTCGGCTTCCTTCAGTGCCGGTGCGTCGTTGGTCCCGTCTCCGGTGACTGCGACGACATGGCCCTTTTCCTTCAAGCACTGCACCATGAGCAGCTTATCGAAAGGAGACGACCTCGCCATGACTCGGATCTGATCGACTTTCTCCATTCGCTCCTCTGCCGAATAATTTCTGAACTCCTGCCCTTCGACGACCGATTCACCAGAGTCATCGGCTCCGATTATCCCGCACTCGACGGCGATGGCTCTGGCTGTGAACACGTTGTCCCCTGTGATCATTTTGACGGCAACTCCGGCGCGCCTGCAAGCACCGATCGCTGATTCCACCTCGGGACGACACGGGTCTTTCAGGCCGACCAAACCCAGCAAGGTGAGCCCGTCGTCATCTAACCTCGGAGTCTCTTCTTGATCAACATGGAGATGATCCTCTGCTTCTGTGTCTTTGTAGGCAAAGGCGATGCACCGAAGACTAGAGGAAGCCATGCCTCTGATAACCTCCTCAAACTTCATCCTCGACTCAGCGTCTATATCTCGGACGCTCCCGTTCCTGTCGAAGTAGTGCGAGCATCGAATCAAGATCATCTCGGCAGCTCCCTTCCAGTGTGTTATCGTTGCTCTGCTCCCTTCCTCTTGCACCAGAACTCCGCTTCGCTTCTTTTCGGAATTGAAGGCCTCGACATGAATGACGCTGCACTTCCTCCTCATTTCCCCCATGTCCATGCCAAGATCCAAGACTGCCCATGAAAGAAGAGCCTTCTCGGTCGGACTACCTGAGATTTCTGGCTCTGCCGTTGCGTTAGCTCGATAGACGCTGCCAGTAGTGTTCAGCCCGACTGCTTGACGAAGCAACGAAAGAACTCTTGGAGCGACGAAGGGGGTGCTGCCGCCGCTGCCCATTGGACCGCCTTCTTCGTTGCCAATCCAAAATTTGGTGACCTTCATTTGATTCAGCGTCAGCGTTCCTGTTTTGTCGGTGCAAATGGTGGTCACCGAGCCCATCGTCTCGCAGGCTGAAAGCATCCGAACCATGGCGTTGTCCTTCATCATCCTCTTCATCGAGAAGGCCAGCGTCAGCGTCACCGCCAACGGCAGCCCTTCCGGGATCGCTACCACGATGATCGTGACTGCATCCTGGAAAATACTCACGATGGCGCTGATGACATTGGAGGCGGTCGCCTTGTCTTTGTCGAACTTGGGCTGCCCGTTCTCGTCCTTGGTGCTCCCAGTGAAATGACGGATCATAAGCACGGCGAAGACTAGGACCGCCACCACAATGCCGATCTTCCCGATGCTGGACGTCAGCTTGTCGAGCCGCTCCTGGAGCGGCGTCGCTTCCGACGTCTCTCGGGTGATGGTGCTCATCATCTCCCCCCACGTCGTGTCCATGCCGACCCCGGTGACGAGCATGGAGGCGTATCCATCGATGACCTTGACACCGGATGTGAGGAACGGGTTCTTACTGGCGTCGATATCGACGGGATCGCTCTCGCCCGTCATGCTCGATTCATCGATCTGTAGAGAATGCCCTTGGAGGAAGATTCCGTCGGCCGGCACCTGGTCGCCAATCTTCAGGAAGACGACGTCCCCGACGACGACGTCGGAGATGGAGACGTCCTGCCGGTGCCCGTCGCGGACGACGCTGACGTTGATGTCGTTGCATTCGGCGGACAATCTGTCGAACCTCTTCGTCTGGCGGAAGTTGCTGACGGCGGAGACGACGGAGACCAAGATGATGGCCAGGAAAATACTGGCGCCATCGTACCACCCTTCTTTGATTCCGTGTTCCTTAATGCCGAAGGCGAGAGAGACGATGGCGCAGCCCATTAGGATGAGAAGGAAGAAGTCGTTGAGCGCCTCGTAGAGGAACCGGAAGAATCCCTTGGGTTTCGGCCTGGGGTAACTGTTGGAGCCGAAGGCCTCCCTCCGGGCTCGGAGGTCATTGCCGCTGCCGATTATGCCAGCCTCTTTATCAGAGTCCAGCGTGATAGAAGATAAGATTTCCCCATATAGGAGGAAATCTTATCTATTCTGTTAAGGAAAATCCTCTATTCTGTTGAGGAAAATCCTCCCTCTTAATCCTATAAATAGGAGAGGAACATGTTAATGTATTCAAGCTAAAGCTATTTCATTTCTACAATAAAGCTTCATTCAATTATTGTTCTTATCTTCTATTATTTCTATCATGGTATCAGAGCCGCTTGCCTAGAGCAAGCTGCGCCAACGTCTGTTCCCTTCCGCTACGGCATCTCTAGTGCTGCTCATCAGCACTGCCCCACCTTTCTTCCTCGTTGTAGCTATTTTCCTTCCTCTTCTGCTACAGCTTCCTCCTCTGTTGCAGTTTCCTCCTTTGCTGTAGCAGCATTACTGCAACATTGCTGTAGATTTCTTCTCTACCGTCGCAGCCGTCGTAATCGCAACCACGACCAACGTCGTTGAGAAAAGCGAAGCTTCGCTCTTGCCTTCGGCCAGCGACCAACGTCGCCTGTGCCATCATAGCAACAGCAATTGCAGCAGCAGCAGCAGCGATTTACACTTATCTTACTCACGAAGCCTCTTTCTTACCGATCCAAGATTGGTATCCTTGTCAGGAGCACCATCTTGCGGGGGCATGATAGAAGATAAGATTTCCCCATATAGGAGGAAATCTTATCTATTCTGTTAAGGAAAATCCTCTATTCTGTTGAGGAAAATCCTCCCTCTTAATCCTATAAATAGGAGAGGAACATGTTAATGTATTCAAGCTAAAGCTATTTCATTTCTACAATAAAGCTTCATTCAATTATTGTTCTTATCTTCTATTATTTCTATCACAGCGTACCGACGAGACCGGCGGCCCCGCCGAGGCGGCGCAGGTCCTCGAGCCTCCGCT